TTTGAGATTACACAAGTACTAAACCTAATAGGTGAAACTTGAACCCAGGTCCAGATCCTCCCTAGCCAGGGCTCCTTGCACTGTACCAGGGGAGGAATGCAGAATCAGGCTTAAGAGTCAGAGTGAGATGGTTTTGCCACTCGAGGTTTTTACAATAGAAGACTCACTCAAAGATGTGGTTTAAGAAGAGTCTTTTCAGAGGTCTTATATTTTATGCTAGCTAAGGATGCCACAACTTTTCAAAACATTTCTGAAACTCGTCTTTGGGGAACTGTCTTCAGGGATTTTTGAATATCCTTGCCTAGAGCAAGGCCTTTTTGAGGGTGGCTTTAACTTTTGGAAAGAGATATAAGAGATGTAAGCCTGGCCAGGGAGCCAAGTCTAGGTCTCAGTTTCATAGGACCACAGATCTAGAGATGCAAAGAGTCTCATAAGGCGTCTAGTCCAGTCTCCTCATTTTATGGATGAGAAAACTAAAACCTAGGAAGGCTCAGCAACTTGCCCAATATCACATAGATAATAAGCTGTCAGAGATGGGATTGAACCCAGATGCTCTGATCTCAGAGCCAGTTTTGGTTTCCTTCATCTGTAAAATAAGGGAGTTTAGCTGGAAGGTCTCATAGGTTTGTTTTGTTTTGTTTTTGTTTTGTTCTTCCCAGCTCTGCGTTGTATGACTAGTGATCTATGACCTGGGTTCAAGTCTGAGTTCTAGATTCTATAACATGTAAGGTCCTTTTGAGTCCTGATATTCTGTTAGTCAGTATCTTGAAATTAAATCATGATCAGAGATCGCTGCTCTAGTGGCTGATAGACAAGAAGCAAGTATTGCTCAGTGAATTATTAGCCTCAAGTCCTTCAAGAGGTCAGGCCAAAAACACAAGGGGGCTCTGTCTATTCTTCCAAATGCCCCCAAGAACCCTTCTGGGATGTCAGTTGTAAACTTAGAAACCTTAGAAATCTGTATTTCAAAGGAGAATTGGTGCATTGCCTACCTCCTCAAAGGACAACTAGCTGGCACAGCAGATAGAGCACCGGGCACGGAGTCAGGAAGACCTGAATTCAAATCTGGCCTCAGACATTTACTAGCTGTGAGATCCTGAGCAAGTTGCTTAACCCTGTTTGCCTCACTTTCCTCATCTGTAAAATGAGCTGAAGAAGGAAATGGCAAACCACTCCAGTATCTTTGCCAAGAAAACCCCAAATGGGGCCACAAAGAGTTGGACACAACTGAAAACCACTGAAGAACTACCTCCCCAAAATCGATGTCCGTTTCCTCTACTTTTTCTATTCTTCCCACTCCTTCTCTTCTGAGTCACTCACTACTAAAACCATTCTTCTTATTCTACCTCCACTAGACTGACTTTCAGTATGCTCAATAGCTGCTGAGTGATTTTCATCTTGTACTGGAACTGAGACAGCGTATGGTAGTAGAAACAAGAGAGTGATTTTGAGGTCCTAGGATCAAATCCTGGACTCTACCTCTTACTAACTCTGTGTCCTTGGGCAGGCAATTTAACTTGTCTGAGTCTCAGTTTCTAATAAAATGAGGGGATTGGAATAGATGATTTTTAAGGTCTCCTCCTAGGATTATTAATGTCAGAGGAGCAGGAAGGGATCATAGAGGTCATCTAATTCAACCTCCTCCCTATTTATAGATGAGGAAACTGAGTCTCAGAGTGAAGTGACTTGCCCAAATCATGGATAGCAAGCAAGAGAGTCACAATTTTAACTTAGATCTTCTAATCCCAAATTGAGTGTTGTTTCCCCTATGAAAGTTCTGATGCCTATACTACTTCTGCCCATTTTTGTGAAGCATCTTTTTTTGCTATTTCTTCCTTTGCTTTCTTAAAAGTGACTATAAGCTAATAACATATTTCATGCCGTAGGTGTGACATTATGACTTCTGAAAACAAATGTGAGATCTGTCTTCATTCTTGGTAATGTATTCCCTTTCCTTTCATGGTGTAATGGCAATTTATCCATGAGGTGATAAGCAGCAAACATGTCATTGGTAGTAACAGACCCATGTTGGTTCATACTTTACCTGGTAAAGAGATTTTGAGAAGAAAGAAAAAAATAAGTGGGAATAGAAAGTGAATAATAAGCCCTGGAGTATTTGAACTAGAAAAGGGGAGTTCAGAAGTGAAGTTCAATTTGGTCTCAATAACCTGGTATTGGAGCTTTGGGTTGGTGTTTGGCACTCTGAGATAGAAAGCCACAATGTCACACTTTGAACTATTCAATAGAAAAATCTTCCAGCAGGGATTTTTTTTTTCCTGCTCACAGACCTTTCAAGGAGGCAGTTGTGACTGATGATAAAGGGACCTTCTCAAATGGCTCTATGCCAATGCCCTTTCTCCAAGAGGAAATAGAACTTGGTTCCATCTCCAATGAAATATCCCCATCCAGTTCTTTCCAAAAAGAGAGATAGTGTAGGAAGAGAGGATATTTCCATAGGAGAAATCTCAAGCTATTAATTCATAAAAGGAGCAAGATACACTTCTTAGTTCTCTGGGACCTATCCTGACACTGAGCCACACATTATACATTCCAGTGGGAGGAAGGATGGTGGTGATAATAACAACAGCATGCTTTGAGGCAGCATAGTATACTAGAAAGAAGTTGGCATTTGGAGCCAGAAGACTGAGGTTCAAATCCTGGCTCTTTTACATGCAGCCTTTGAGACCTTGGGCAAGTCACTTAGCTTCTCTGGGCCTCAGTTTCCTTCACTGTAAAATAGAGAAGATGGACTCAGAGGTCCTTTCCAACTCTAGATCTATAATCTATAGTGCCATAGGTACCATACGATGCTCCTTGTAAACCTTACAAGGAACTTTCCTCAGGATGACCCTGGAAAGTAGGTGGTGTAAATATTATGTAGTACTCATTTTTCAAATCAGAAGAATTGAAGTCCAAGGGCTGTCACTTTCCCCTGATGCCCAGCTATTAAGTGTGATAATCAGGATTTAACTGAGTCTTTTATTCTCAGAGATCTTTCCAATAACTGTGATGCCTTGTAATAATAGAGCACATTCTCATAAAGATTTACAATTTACAACGCATTTTATTTACAAGTAACCCTCAAAGTTAGTACCAACAATCTATTCCATATTACTATTTGGACTTGAGACAAGACTGAAGACCTAAGAGGTGTCCTCAAATATTTGAACATTTTTATACGGCTTGTTGACTTATAAAGGAGAGGGATTAGATTCATCCTGCTTGATCTTTGAAGGCATAACTAAAAGCAAGGGATGGAAGTTTCAGATTTCAGTTTGATATGAGGACAATGTTCTTCAGAATTAGAACTCTGCCCAAGTGAAAGGGGCAGGCAGCTCGGAGAGGTAGTGAGTTCCCCAGCACTTGAGGTCTTGGCGATTCAGTTGCATGATCTTCATCGGGAGTAGGGAGAGGGGTTATAGAGAAGGGATTCTTAACCTTTTTTGTATCGTGGACCCCTTTGGCAGTCTGGTGAAGCCAATGGCCTTCTTCTCAGAATAATGTCTTTAAATGCATAAAATAAAATACATACGACTACAGAAGCAACCAATTATGTTGAGAAAGTTACCCCCCCAAATTTTTTTTAAATAAATTCACAGACCCCAGACTAAGAGCCCCTGTTGCAGAAGAATCATAGGATCACAGATGTAGAAGTAAAAGGGTCCTTAAGGGTGATCTAACTCAACCCTCTCATTTTACCAACAAGGAAATTGAAGTCCAAGAAGACTAAATAATTTACCCCATGCCACACAAGTAGTTAAGTGGTTGAGTCAAGGTTCTAATTGAGGTCCTCTGGTATTAGATGCAGTATTCTTTTGGGACTTATCTAAGCTTGAAATTTTCTTGAAATTTCTTGAAATTATTAGTAGAGGGTGCTGAATTTTATATATAAAGATGGTACCACTAACTGAAAATTAAGTGGGATTACATACTTGGAATTGTTCCAGACACAGGCTATGCTTGAATCACCCACAACCTACACCAAAGGCCACCTTAAGAATTAATGGCATAGGGGTAACTAGATAGTGCAGTGGATAGAGCTCTGGTCTTGGAGTCAGGAGGACCTGAGTTCAAAAACGGCCTCAGACACTTGATACTTACTAGCTGTGTGACCCTAGGCAAGTCATTTAACCCTAATTGCCTCACCAAAAAGCAAACAGATACACTAGGCTAGTTTGGGAGCTATGTGACCATGAAACAGAGTTTTCCCATTCTTTAAAACTAACATAGCAGTGAGGGAAACCTGTGACCAATAATAATAATAATAGTAATAATAGCTAGTATTTGTAGGGGATGTATATGTACCAAGTACTGTGATAAGCATTTTATAATTATTGCCTCACTTTATTCTCCCAAAAACCATAGGAGGTAGGTGCTATAATTATCCCCATTTTACAGATAAGGAAACTGAGGCAGATGTTAAGTGACTTGCTTAGGCTTACACAGCTAACAAGTATCTGAAGCCTTATTTGAACTCAGGCCTTCCTGATTCCAGCCTCAGTACTCTGTCCATTGCATTACCTAGCTGCACCTCTGAACCAATACTATGCTTAATGAATTCCATGCTCCAGTCCCCCTAGCTACCCAGCCCAACATAGGGCAATGTCCTAAAATGAGAGGTTCTGTTAGGCCATTCTAATTCCATAAACTGTGGAGCCATGAGTGTGTCATTGTCATTAGCATAGGAATTGACTTTCATTGACAAGGCAAGAGCTGTGGTCTGGGTGGAAAATGTGTTGCAGAAGAAGTAAAAGGAATACAAATATCAAAGAGTTTTTAGATTTATTAGGAAAATTTTGATTGTCCCATTGCATTAAGTTTTGTTGTTGAGTCGTTTTTCAGTCGTGTCCGACTCTTCATGAGCCCATTTGGGGTTTTCTTGACAAAGATACTGGAGTGGTTTGCCGTTTTCTTTTCTAGTTCATTTTACATATCAGGAAACTGAGGCAAACAGAGTTAAGTGACTTGCCCAGGGTCACACAGCTAGGATGTGTCTGAGTCTGGATTTGAACTCAGGAAGTTGAATCTTCCTGACTCCAGGCCCGGCACTCTATCCACTATGCCACCTAGTCATCCATTGCAGTAAGTACTGAAAATGTTAAACTTCATTCATATAAAGCTAATTGCATGCAAAATAAGGAGATTTAGTCCTATTATCCCACTGTTCTACCAGACAGTGTATTTACTATACACAGGTTTCTCCTTGGATGAATTTTCTGTTTGCATGATGCTCTGATGTTACATACTTTCCTGCCAATTCAACTCAATTTTTATAAAATTTATTAAATACCTACTATATACAAGGCACAGTGCTATATCTATAAACACAAAGATAAAAAACAAAACCCAAACAGATCCCTGCCCTTAAGGGGCTTCCATTCTGCTAAGGAATATGATGCATGCACAGATAAGTTAAAACAAGATCATCTGAGAAGGCAGAAAACACTAATGACTGAGGAGTAAGAATAAGGGAAAGTTGGCAGGGGACCATAGAAAACTTAAGAGAGGAAGTGACACCTGGGTCCAGCCTTGGAGGAAATGAAGCTCTCTGTACATTCCAAGCACGGAAGATGGACAACTGAGGCACAGAGGCAGAGATGGGAGACAGAATATCAAGTCCAGGGAACAGTTAGTAGAATATTTTGACTGAAATGGAGAGTACGTGATGGGGAATAATGTGAAATCATTTTGCAAAGGTAAGTTGGAGCCTGATTGAGCAGAGTTTAAATTCTAGACTGAAGAATTTGTATGTTAGCCTGTATAAAATAGGGGCCAATTAAAAATGTGTGAGGACTGGGATGGCATGGTCGCCTAAGGTTGATCAGTGGACTTAAAATAAGACAAGCAATGACATCATTAGAGTTATTTCTGGTTTGTAGAATCATGATGCTCTTCCTGAATATTCATATTCATCCTGAATTTCATAAATGTTCTCTTCTATGGTGTAGATATTTTCTTCAACTTGCAGCCTCTCTCCTGCTATATTTCTTATGTCTTTGGGGAGTGGATTTGACATGAAGATTATACTATGGAAGGAGAAAGTTAAACAAATGTCAGCAATGGGGCCCAAGAAGATTCACCTTTATATCTAGCATAGAAATACGGAAGCACATTTGAAGAATGGGATACTCAAGCTATCAACCTTGGTCTGTCAGTTAAAAGATAAAGAAGCTAAACAGTTCAATATTGTAAGTTTGGGGCTGACCTCCTAGAACATTCATTCAAATTTTGCCATTGTAATTGCCATTTTCATGATTTCAAGTCTAAAATCATAGCCTTTCAGAACTGGAAGTGATATTAGAGATAATCTGACTGGCTCATTTCACAGATGAAGAAAACCCTGGGAAGATCTTAATGTAAAAGATAAATATGAATCAAGAGAATATGGGTTCTTGCAATTTTAGACTTTTCAATTGTTTTTCATTCATGTCTGACTCTTTGTGAGCCCATTTGTAGTTTTCTTGGTAAAGACACAGAAGTGGTTTGCCATTTCCTTTTCTCACTCATTTTACAGATGAGGAAATTGAAGTAAACAGGGTTAAGTGACTTACCCAGGGTCACACAATTAGGAAATGTCTGAGTCTGGATTTGAACTCAGGAAGATGAATCTTCCTGACTCCATGACCAGCTAGCTGCCCAATCTTAGATTACACAAATATAAGCATAGGCTATAATTCAAATGATCCCTTGTCCTATCACCATTCACTCATTCTTTGCCAAACCTAAACCAGGGTTACCGTTATTACCTTATCTATTCTCACTTTCACGCGCTGCTGAATACTCCCAGAATAAACCATACAATTATGGTGACTGGGTAGCTTACACATACATTTTATCTATCCTCAGTTGGCCCCTCATTTCCTTTTTTTTTTGAAAGACCCTTTTGCACAACTTTCTTTGCAAAACTGCCTTGTGTTTATTTTGTATATGCTTTAAAAGGCTCATGTTGTCTCCCTCTAAGCTCTTTAAAGACATTCCATCTCTTATCTTATTGCCTTGATACTGGCTATCTCTTATACCTAGAATGCATTCTCTCTAACTTCAACTTTTTAGAATCCTTAACTTCCTTCATGATTCAATCCAGATGTCACTGTTATGGAAAGACTTTCCTGATCTCCCTGGGAAGTAACAAGGTACAATGGAAAGAAGATGGGATTGGGAATCTTTGGATTCCTGGTTCTGCCAGTTGCTATCTAAGTGACGCTGGGCAAGTAACTTCCCCTCCACAAGACTCAATTTGCTCAAGTGTAAAAATGAATGAGGTGAACCAGTTAACTTCCAAGATATCTTTCAGCTATAAATTGATTCAAAGTGCTTTGTAAACCATAAAGAAAAAAAAAGTGGGGCATCATGGACCCAGGGATTTACTTGTGAGTCAGAAAGATCTGGATTCAATGAGTCTACTTCTTTACCTTAGCCATGTACAAATCCCTGGACAAATCCCTTCACCTTGCTGGCACTTAGTTTTGTAAAAACAATGTCTGTAAAAATCTGTAAAAAGAATAGATTGGACTAGGTGATTTCCAAGATCCCTTTAAGCTCTAAATCCACAATCCAAAGATCTTAGTCATTAGAGATCTCTTCCTCCTAAAATTTCATTCTATACACTTAGATGTATAAATGTAAATATGGTATCATCCCCAGCAAAATGTAGGCCGCTGAAGGATGAGAGCTTTTACTTTTCATTTTGTCTTTGTTTTCTTAGCACCTAGCACAGTAGTGGAAAGGTTAAGAAATTCTTGTTAAATGGAATTGATCACTCACTAAGGCCATTTATGGTTGTAAACCTGATAATCCAGTAGCCCTATCAAATCCTGCCCTGGTCTCACAGCATTTGACGTATGGCATTCAGTTCTGGGAGGATATGGACAAGGAGCATATCTTGAGGTAGTGACCAGATGAGGGACCTCAAGACCAGGGCTCTTACAGAATTCCCAGGGAATTGTGCTGACCTTGTACGTGCCAGGGCCAGACTTTAGCCAACACACCAGCTTTTGCTGTATTAATGGATTGGGAAAGCAGAAGCAAGCAAGAGGACAGCATGCAGTACAAGGATGAAGTGGGCTAGTAATGACCGAAAGGAAAAGCAGAACTGGAGAAGATAAAAGAAAAAGGCTGCTGCCATGAGGAGCAGATGCCAAGACTCCAGGATGAGGGACAGCGGATGATTGAACAATGAAGGGACAGAGCAAGCACTGCATGACTGAAACCCATTAGTACTCTGGACACTGATCTTTCCTTCCTGTCTTTGCCTTCCCATCCTTCTCTCCTTAGAGGTTATGGGCCAGTTTCTCAAAATTTAGCTCTGCTTCTAAAAAGCTGGTTGGTCTTGCTGTTTACTTGTCAACTATTACAGCTATTCAGCATAATTAACCATTGCATTGCTAGCCCGTGGCTGTGACTACCCAAATGTAGTAGAGAGAAACAAGAAGGGAGCATCGAAATTTGGAAGGAGAAATAGATCTTACAACTGTAGTGCCTTTTGCCAGAGTGTGATTTCCTGGCTGGGGGCTTAGAGCAACAACAATAGTATTATGCATTCATTTTTGTTGTTGTCGTCCAATCATTTCAGTTGTGTCTGACTTTCATGACCCCATTTGTGGTTTTCTTGGCAAAGATATTGCAGTGGATTACCATTTCCTTCTCCAGTTCATTTTATAGGTGAGAAAACTGAGGCAAACAGGGTGAAGTGACTTTCCCAGGGTCACACAACTAGTAAGTATCTGAAGCCAGATTTGAACTCAGGAAAATAAGTCTTCCTGATTCCAGGCCTGGCAGTCTATCCACTGTACCGCCTAGCTGTGATAACTCATTTTTATACCATCTCAAAGTAGGAAGCAAAGGGAACACCTCTTCAGAGTCTTCTAGGGCAGTGGTTCCCAAAGTGTGATCCAATGATCCCTGGGGGTCCCTGAGATCCTTTCAGGAGGTCTGCAAGGTCAAACTATTTTCATAGTAATACTGAGACACTTTTATTTCTAATATGGACCTGGAGATCTAAACTAAATAAGCAAAAGCTCTTGGGGCCAAGGTGGGAGAATCCTCAATAATTTTTAAGTATGTAAGGGAATCCTGAGACCAAAAAGTTTGAGAACCACTACTCTACACAATGAATAAATCAACAGGAGTCTGTGATTAGCTGCTTGCCATGAAAAGGCAATGCCATCACTTTTTTTTTTCCTTCCCATTGTTTTCCTCAGTCGAGTTTGATAGGAAAATTCTCTCCCAGAGAGAAGGAACTGGATTAGGAGGAGTAGCTTTCTGCCTGTAGAAGAGAAGGGACAAGTGAGAGGGTGGGGCAACCCTGCTCACACCAGCACTGTCACCCATCATACCACTGTTAGACTTGGATCAATGATTCACAGAAGGGACATGATAGCCATCTTTAAATATTTAAAGGGTTATCATGTGGAAGATAGATTTGGCGTGTTTTGTTTGATCTTGGCGAGCAGAACTAAGAGCCATGCAGAGCTGCAGAGGCAGTTTTCATTCTTTTTAAGAAAAACCTTCCTTTATATGTCAAGCTGTCCCAAAGTAAAATGGGCTGCTTGGGGTGATAGAGGGCTCCCCCATCACTAAAGTTCTTCAGGTGAAGGTTAGAACATTGTAGATAGAATTTATGCTCAGATGAAAATTGTATTAGATAGTTCCTGAGGTCACTTTTAGCCCGGAGAGTCTGTGACCTGCCCAAAGGAAAAAAACAAAAACAAAAAAACAAAAAGAAACAAAAAAAAAACCCTTATAGATTAATTAATGCTCCATGAAAAACTGTGAAGTTACTTTAGTCAGTCCCTACCTCTAGGCCTCTGTCCCCACTTCTACCCCAGTGGTAACTTGCCTTGCTTCACCATATATGTTCCACCAAGCTTCCGTCAAAACTTGTTTTTAGATTCTAAGGTATAAATGAATGATAGCAGCTCAAAGATATTCTATCTAGGGCTTTTGGATTTTTACTTCTGCCTCTCCAGACTTCAGAACCATGTCTCAGCTGCCTTACTCCCTACCCCGTCCCCAACCAATTTCTATCGCATCCTTTATGTCCCTTCTCCCTTTAGTGAGTTCCTCTTAGAATCTCCATTTTGAGGAGGGGTCCAGGCCAGCCCCCTTTTATTCCTTCTCTATCTCCACTCCTTGACTCTCTGAACTTTGCCGCCTTGTCCATGCCCTGCTTCAGGTACCTTCCCTCCAACCCCTTTTTTTCATCTCCCTTTTATGTGTTGTCTTTCTCCAGTAGAATGTAAGCTCTTTGAGGGTAGGGACAATCTTTTTCCTTGTATTTGTATCCCCAGAACTTAGTTCAGTGCCTGGTATATAGTCATCACCTTATACATGCTTGTTGACTTGACTTCAACTAGAAAGAAAGTGTTAATCTAAAGGAATGAAACTTTAACCAAGGCTTTAACCAAGTGAGTAGAGAAGAATTTTTGTAGGGGTGTAGGTTCTTGTGAAATTTCATCATATAGATGACTCCACAGGAATGGAAATGACTTACCTCAGCTGCCTCCCCTCTAAGTCTGGTCATTCTAGGAGTTTAATTTACTTGTATTAAGGAGGCTAAAATTCAATATTCAATCCCTATGTGAGTCACTGATTCATTTATTCATTCATTCAACAGCCATTTTTAAGTGACTACTATGCTATCTTTCTTGGCTATAGTGTCTACTACTGGTCTTAAGGAACCAGTCGGCTAGATTAGCAGAAATTTAGTCAAATATCTCTTTGTCACATTCATATGCTATGGTGATGTCAAACTCAAATAGAAATAGGGGCCACTAATTCATACATAAGCATCCCTATGGGTCACATATTGACTTAGTTTTAAAATGTGATTTTATCTATGTTTTACTGTACTTTTATTTATTTTATTAATGTTTTCCCATTACATTTAATCTGATGGAACCAAATGGGAGTATTGTGGGCCACTTAAAGTTGGGGCAAATTGTTGAGACTTCTGATATACAAGATGGTGATTCCACCACTAACTCAACAAAGGGAATAGTGGTCTTTTCAAAAGGAAGTCAAGGTCAAACTCCCAGGGTAGGTAGTAGTTCTGACTGGGAAATGAAGAGCCAGAATTCTGAAGGAACATTGGAGAATTGGCAAGGGGAAGATTATAGCATCACAAAACTAGAGCTCAAAGGAACCTCAGAGACCATCTTGTTCAATCCTTTCATTTTATAAACAAGGAAACTGAGGCCCAGAGAGTTTAAGTGATTGGACTATGGTCAAACATCTAGGATGTATCACAGGCCGGACATGAACCCAAGTCTTTCCGACTCCAAAGTTAATCCACTATCTACTATCTATACTGCCCCTAGATATGATGGAACATAATTAAAAAGTACACACAATAGGCCCTGCCTTCCTTCATGGCCATTGAAGGTTGAATAGCATCTGGATAGGGGAGGCAGGGGGAGCAGTACAAGCAAAAGTAGAGACAAGTACAAACATTGCTTGTGTTAGGAACATTAAGAAGACAAATATGACTAGAGAAAAGATTCTACATTTGGGCAAGTAATGTGAAACAAATTGGGAGAGGCAGATTGGATTGCAGAGAGATTTGGAAACCAGGCACAGGAATTTACACTTGATGCATGCAGCAGGCAATAGACAATTTAGGTTATTAAGCAAGGGAGTGACATAAAAATATAGTTTTAAAATTTGTCAATGCAGTTTAATAATGCAGATGTAATATGAGATGTAAGAGCTTAGAAGAACCAGAGAAGAGAGAATAGAGACATTTTAAAGGGGAAAAAAATCTGATTTCTTGGGCATAGATATAAGGGATGACAAATTAAAATATGAAAGAATTAAAAATGATGCCAAAAGTTTCCTGCCTGGGAGACTGGAAAAAGGGTGATTCCACTGGGGCAGCAGGAAAGCAGGCATGATTTGGAGTCAGAGAGCATGGAATGGAAGAGGATGAGATCTGTTTTGGACATATTGAGTTTAACATAAGGGTATAAACAGGTGAAGATTTTCTGAGGTAGCTAGCCAGTTAGTACAAAGGATAGCTTGGAGTCAGAAAGACTTGATCAGGCCTCAGATAGTTAGTAGCTGTGTGACTCTGGGCAAGTCACTTAACCCCTCTCTGCCTCAGTTTCCTCAATTGTAAAATGGGGATAATAATAGGGTTATAATGAGAATTAAATGAGATAATATTTTTAAAGTGCTTCGCATAGTGCCCGGCCCAGAGTAGAAGGGAAGGAAATACTACGCAGATACTTCATAAATGCTTGTTCCCCCACGCCACCCTTCACCCTTTTTTGGTACACACTAGTATGCAGTTGGAAATACAGAACTGGAGTAAAGTTGAGAGAAGTCATGGCTAAATATGTAAACTTGGGAATAGAGTGCTATGTAGAATCAATACATGATTTTTAAATGCATAAGATTGGACTGAGATTCATTCTACATTTATTTTTATTCATTCATTCAACAACCACTTATTAAGCAGCTATCATATACAAAGCATTGTGCTTGGTGATGAAGGAGATGCAAAAGTATTAAAAACCATGATCCTGCATTTTTGGAACTTAAGCTCTAGCAAAGGGAATATGACATTTACACAAATCTGAACTAATTATCCTTTGGCATGGAATGTATGAGACCAGGACATGGTATTATACATGTAAAGAAAGACTATTTCTAACCTTGGAGTGGGAGAAGAGAGTGGGAGTAAGAAAAAAGATCATAGAATATGTCCAAAGAAAGTAGTACTTGAGGTGTCTTGAAGGAAGGGTAAGATTTCAAAAGATAGAATTGGGGGTAAGAGGATAGGAAGGACATTCCAAGCAAAGGCATGAAAACAAGAGAGCAATGGAAATGTACAGAGGGCAAGGAATCTAATAAAATTATATTTACCTGGATTTCTGCAACTTCTTTTTGCTATAGGAACGCCCTAAAAAGATTTTTTGGGGAAAAAAAAAGTCAAGTGAACATGTCAGTTAAAAAAAAATATGGAATGAGATATAAAATATAAGCTTTAAACTTCCTGCCCATGAGCTGGATCTGCCTTCAAATTGAAATTATATGTGTACTTACCCCTTTCTTTTTGTTGTTTTGTCAATTAGTTGTGTCCAACTCTTCATGACCCCATTTGAGGTTTTCTTGGAAAAGATGCTGGAGTAGTTGCCATTTTCTTCTCCAGCTCATTTTATAGTTGAAGAAACTGAGGCAAACAGGGTTAGGTGACTTTCCAGGGCTCATACAGCTAATAAGTGTCTGAGGCCAGATTTGAACTCATGACTCCAGGTTGGCACTCTAGCCACTATGCCACCTAGCATTCTATCATTATTTTCGAACTAATGTATCATCATTATCATCATCATTGTCATCAACATCATAATCATCATTACTACCATCTTTAAGAATTCCAGTAAATAAACTGGATTGGACTAGAGTATCAAGGTAGCACAATGGACCGACATCTGGCCCTGGAGTCAGTAGGACCTGAGTTTAAATCCAACCTCAGACACCTACTATCTGTGTGACCCTGGGCAACTCACTTAACCCTGTTTGCCTCAGCTTCCTCATAAAATTAGCTAGAGAAGGAAATGGCAAACCACTTCAGTATCTTTGCCAAGAAAACTCCCAATGGGGTCACAAGGAGTTGGACATGACCAAAATGACTAAACAAAAATAATTCTCAATATTCATAATCTCCAAAATATGTGGAAAAATTGTTCAAAATATAGAAAATTGGCAGAATAAATTGAAACAAACTGGACACAGAACAAGAACTATGACATTTCTGTTGTTCTGTCTGCTACTGGAGTTGTCTGTGAGATACCTTCAGTGAATCTAAAGGAGATGAACTTGCATTCTGATACTCTTCTTTAATGACCAAAAGTAATTGTTTTATGCACTTCTGTAATAGTGCACAGAATATTAATGTGAAAGAACAATCGTGGGGTATCAGCTTATCCTCAAACTACTTCTATCTGAACACTATTAAAAAAGACCAGAATGGGATAAGTGATAATTATGATAATAATTGTAATAACAATAATAATAATTTATTGTGGACCCAGATTTTCTCTATGTCTCTACGGCAAGTCATTCTGTAACAAAGGCAATTAAATCAATGCCACCTAGATATATAGCCAACATGAGAGACAAGAAAATTGCCTCCAACACCACTTTTCTATATCCAAGGTGCCCTAATCAAATGAATATTGAACTGAATCAGATTCTGGAAGAACAACAGAAGTGGTATTCTCCCACCTGAGGGGATAAAGAGAGTCCGAGATTTCATCTCCCTTCTCATCACCTTTACATAGGTAGTCCTGGAATGCTGAGAATGTTCTCTCTCTTCATCCCTTAGCCTCAGAGGTAGTTCAGGACCACCTCCTATAAAAGGACTTCCCAGAGTCAGGCAGCTGTTAGCTCTCTCTGATAACCAGGAATGACTTTGTATTTATTTTGTACTTACTTATCTGTATTTAACTTGTTCTTCCCACTTCCTAGAACCTGAGTACTTTGAGTACTTTAGGAAGGACTGTTTCTTTGTATACCCAAAAGGAAAGAAGGAAAAGGGAAGAAAGAAGGAAGGAAGGAAGGAAGGAAGGAAGGAAGGAAGGAAGGAAGGAAGGAAGGAAGGAAGGAAACATTAAGTATCTACCATATGCCAGGTACTGTGCTAAGCTTTTTACCAATAATATCTCATTTAATCCTTATAATGACTCTGGGAGGTAGGTATTATTATTATCATCATTTTACAGTTGAGGAAACTGAGGCAAACAGAAGTTAAGTGATTTGCCCAGGGTAGCATAGGGAATAGTATTAGAGGCTGAATTTGAACTCATATCTTTCTGACCCACTGTTCTGTCTCCTTCACCATCTAAATGCCCAGAACCAAAATCTAACACAGTGCCTGGAAAACAGGCAAATGTCAATTAAATTGAATTGTGATACTATACAAGTGGACCTGGGGGCTATATACATTCTATGAATAGACCTAGATTTAGTGGCAGAGAAATGAATTTCTCTGAAAAACATTGAGCTAAATTACATGGTATTAAAAAGAAAACTTTTAAGTAGGCCACTTAGTACAGTGTTCTCTTCCAGGATTGCAAGAATAAATGTCTTTCTTAAGAATACTGATCAATGCATTGATCAATTATGGTTCTAAAGGACAAATAATGAAGCACATAACCCACCTCTTGTTAGAGATGTGATGGACTCAAGATACAGAATGAGACTGACATTTTCAAATATGGCCAATATGGGAGGTTTTTGTTTCATTGTTATTATTGTTGTTTGCTTGACTATGCATGTTTGTTACAGCTTTGTTTTGTTTTGTTTACCAATTTAGGGGTGGGGTGCCAGAAGTAGGCACAGGGTAGCCAAGAAAGGAAAAGAAAAAAGAAAAGAGTGTCGTTGGAACATTTTAATGGATAAAAAGAGAAAAAGAATTACAGAGGATAGCTATAAAAGAGATCCCCATTTTCATATATGATCCTTTTTTTCTGTTCTACTATGTATATAAAAATTATCATTTTATTTAGTGTTTATTAAGTTCAAAATGATTGCCAAAGAGAGACTTGGACACAGAGTCTTTGACATAGAGCACAATCCTTAAGGTCTTGAAACAAACAGATTCCATAACCAGAACCAACAAAAAAACCACTAATTTTCTGTGCTGGTTTTTAATAAATTAAACCATAAACTGAAAAAATATTTTACCCAAAAGGTGAAAAATACCACCAAACACACAGAGTCCTAAGGTCTTTCAAGTGAACCAGTTCAAACCAAGCCAAGTAAACGAACCCAAACTAAACAGGAACCAAACTGAGGGTACTCAGAAGGTGATGAACTTCGAGATCCTGCAATATAATAATTGGTCAAAGAAACTGGAATTACTTAGTCTGGAGAAAAGAAGTTTTAGGTAGGGTCTGACAGACTATCTTGTAAGAACTGATTTATAGTATTTTTATTCAAATCAGTATTATTCAATTTAGTGATTCCATAGGGGTAGTGATTATTTCTGTTCTATTCATCTATTAATATCTATTCAGTCAGTATAATCAATTAATATCAATATTAATACATATTTGCCATATTAGATAAGGTTAGATAGATTCTTTCTTATAATAGGCCCCCAAACTACAAGCTATAAGTTACTGACTTGTTCTAAAGTTCACTTGCTTAATCATAGGAAGCTAAATAGAGATCCTCCACCCTTTCTTCCTTCTGAGTAGGGGACAAAGCCCAGCATGGCAGAGATGACTCAGTGATATGAAAAATCTCCCAGCTATTTTTGTTGCCCTCCACCCTTCATCACTCTATTGCCCAACATGAGGAGATGGCCAACAAAGGATCCTATTTGCCAGCCTGTGGCCTGACTATCTACCAGCCCATCAGCCCATGTGGATATTTTGACTTCATGACCCTCAGCCCTGCCCATGGCTCTGCATGTTGGATCAGTAGGCCGTCTTGGAAGGTCCAGACAGGTTTGTCAGCCATAGGACTCTGTATTTTATGTAGACCCTCCTAGAGGGTCATGGTGAAGATTTATCAACCATTGAAACTCTGTATTTTACTTTGCTTCCTCTGTATTGCCCAGGTATCAAGCACTATAAAACTAAGGCCCTGGAGGAAGGACAGCATCTCAAATACTGAGGAAGATCTGAGGTCCCATTCATTAAAGTGGCCATGTCCCTTTAATAAATGGTTATTGGCTTAGAGCTCTGCCTCAGTGTCTTTTATTGCAGATTGAACAATTTTGGACCCCACAGCATTCAGGTACTTAAAGGGCTGCTATATGGAAGAGAGATCTGATTTATTTTTTTGTTTTTGGCTTGGCCTAAGAGCAAAAACAGAAGTAATTAAGAAGTGGAGACAGAGAAGAGAACTTTATTCTTGGGATCATAGATTCAGAGCTGAAAGGGACCTTAGGAACCATCTAGCCCAGGGGTGGGGAACCTGTGGTCTCAAAGCCACATGTGGTCTTCTAGGTCCTCAAGTGGGGCCCTTTGACTGAATCTAAACTTCACAGAACAAATCCCCTTAATAAAAGAATTTGTTCAGTAAAACTTGGACTCAGTCAAAAGGCCGTACCCAAGGACCTAGAAGGCCACATGTGGCCTCGAGGCCTCAGGTTCCCCACCCTTGATCTAACCCTTATTTTACAAATAAGAAAACTGAGGCCCAGAGAGTTTAAGTTATTGGACCATGGTCATACACCTAGGATGTAGCAAAAGCGGACTTAAACCTAAATCTTTTTGATTCCAAAGTCAACCCTCTCTCCACTATGCCACACTGTCTCTAGAAATGATCTAGCACAATAAAAAAGTAGACACAATCGGCCCAGCCTTCCTTCACAGCCATTGAAACTTGAGTAGGATTTGAATGTGGGAAACCAGAGGAAGCAGTCTGAGCAAATTCAGAATGAATATGGGCATGGGAAATAATGGGAAACAAGTTGGGAGAGATCTGTTGGGTTACAGAGAGATTTAGAAACCAGGCCCAGGAATTTACACCTGACACATGAAGCACACAAAAGAGAGCCAATTTAGGTTATTGAGCAAGGGAGTGACATAAAAAAATAATGATAGGGGCCGGTAGGTGGCGCAGTGAATAGAGCACCAGCCCTGGAGTCAGAAGGAACTGAGTTCAAATCCGGTACTTGACACTATGTGACCCTGGTTAAATCACTTAACCCCATTGCCTAGCCAAAAATAATAATAATAATTGTAGGAAGATTGGTCTGATGAAATTTTTAAGAATAAGAGCCATTTTCCAATTGGTAAATTGTCAAAGGATATAAATAGGCAGCTTTCAGCAGAAGAAATCCAAGCTTTCAATAGATAACTGAAAAAGTTCTAAATCACTAATAATTAAGGAAATGCAAATTAAAAGAACTTTAAGGTACCAAACTCACTCATTAAATTGGCAAAGTTGACAAAAAGGGAAAATGACAAATACGGGAAAGGCTGTAGGAAAACAGGTGCATTAATGTATTGTTGGTAGAATTGTGAACTGATCCAGCTATTCTGGAAAATGGTTTGGAACTATGCCCAAAAGACTATTGAACTGTGCATAAGCTTTGGCCTAGCTATACTCCTATTATACCCAAAAGAGATCAAAGAAAGAGGAAAAGGAACCATACATACAAAAGCATTTATTGTAGTTCTTTTCGTGGCAGCAAAATGGAACTGAAGAGGTACCTATCAATTAGGAAATGGCTAAACATATGGTATATGAATGTAATGGAATACTATTAACGCTTTCTTAAAAAAGGGTGAAGGGGATAGTTTCAGAGAAATCTGGGAAGACTTGTATGAATTGATGCAAAGTGAAGTCAGCAAAACTAGGAGAATAATGTATGAAATTATAATGACATTGTAACAAAACTTCAAAAGACTTAAGAACTCTGATCAACATAATGACCAACTATAATTCCAGAGGACTCATGATGAAACATCACCTCTAGATAGAGCAGTGATGAACTCAGAATGCAGATTGAGGCATATATGTGTGCGAGTATATGCATGTATATGTGTGTGTATATATACACACACACACAAACACAAAGACATGCAAATATGATATATGTGTATTTTGTTGTTCAGTCTTTTTCAGTCATGTCTGACTCTTCATGACCCCATTTGGTGGTTTTCTTGGTAAAGATGCTGGAATGGTTTGCTATTTCTTTCTCCAGATCATTTTACAGACTAGGGTTAAGTGACTTACCTAGGGTCACATAGCTAGTAAGTGTTTGAAGTCAGATTTGAACTCAGAAAAATGAGTCCTCCTGACTCCAGGCCCAGCTCTCTATCCACTGTGCCACCTAGCTGCCCATATAGGTGTATATGTATGTGTATGTTTATATGTACATATATATGTGTGTGTGTGTATGTGGGTATGTATATATGCACATATAAATGTACACATATATATGTCTCAATAATAGTTGTTATATATATTGCATATGTTATCAATTTTATATGGCCGGTTTTGCTTGACTATATATATGTGTAATAGTTAGGGTTTTTTTCGTTGCTTCCTCAATGGGGAGTCGGGGAGGTAGGATGGAAAATTAGGAATCTGTAAATAAAATAAAATTGAATTTAAAAAAGGAAATTAACAAAATTGAATTTAAAATGTTTAAAGACTCTTACCAAAAAATAAGAAGAATTTCTTGAAATGACTTACTTTTGAGAATAAAGGTACCAAGGGCAAGAGCTAAGACTAATACCATAAAGATGCTAACACCAATGTATATTCCAATTCTTGTGGCATCTCCAGACTTTTGTAACTCATTAGCTGTCGAAGTTATTTCCTGTGGAAACACAAACAGAATTTTAAGTTGGGAGAAGCAATAAAAATAACAAGATACTTATGTGCTTACCTCAACTCATGACAACTCAATAACTCACAGATTGTAGTGGAATTTGGGGGAGGGGAGACCTAGCTTCAGCTGGTCAGCAAAATAAGGATAATAACAGCATTTACCCCACAAGTTTGTTGTGAGGATCAAATGAGATACCACATGTAAAGGGTTTCAACAAACCTTGAAGACCTATACAAATATGGGTGGTGGTAGTAATTGCCGTTGTTATGATTTCGGTTATGGTTGTGGTTGTTGTTATCTCTTATAGGGTCAGAGGACCCTAAGAGGAGTCACTTAGTTTGTCCCCACTGGCTCTAGTCTAGGCAATCTCCAAATGAACCAAGAAAGAAAGCAATCTTCTTTTTAGATGCAGAGGCAATAAGAAGCTGACTGAATCCATCAAATTGTGAGGTGCTTGAGGGCAAGAATTGCCTTTTGTTTCTTTTTATTTCTCCAGTGCTTACCTACCATGCCTGGCTCATAATAGGTGCTTAATAAGTGTTTATTAATTAATTGATTGATAGGTTGGATTTTCCAGGCAGAGGAAGGTGATAGAAAGTACCTTCAGGGGCCTTAGAAAAAGAACAGTGATTAGTTATACCTCCCAGGCCTCTAGAACTGTGGCTCTTGGTCCTGAAGGTCTTATAAAGGATGCATATCCATTCTGAGAGATCTTCAAACAGAGATTGGGTGATTACATTTCAGGGATAATAAGAAAGAGACCTCCCGTTGAAGTATAAGTTAGACTTGATAACCTCTGAGGAACTTTACAACTCTGAGATTCTGTGATTATCGTAGTAAAACCTACATTAGCTCAGAGAAAAGGGGGCACCTATTAATCTATTTAATTGACCACTGCACAGGAAACACATTTTGTCTCCAAACCTAATGGGGAGTTCCAGGTCACGTGAACAGGAAGACGGAGGATTAGAAATTTTCTCTGAACCTCATGACCTCTCAAACCTCTTCAAAACAGAAACTGTGCACCAAAGATAAAGCAACTTCAGCTATTCCCATGGTCTAGGTCCAGAGGTGTCAAACACTTGGCCTAGGCCACCTGCAGCCCACAACATCCCTGAATGTCAGAACCAGATTAAAATGTAATTGGGGAATAGTTAACCAAATAAATAAAAATACAATAAAACATACTAACATTAAAGGAAAAGGGTAAGGCAACTGAGATGGATAGATAATATCATAGAAACAATGAGCATGAACTTGGACAGACTTCGAGAAATAATGGAGGATAGAAGGGTCTGGCATGCTATGGTCCATGGGGTAACAAAGAGTTAAATATGACTGAATGACTGAACAATGACAACAAAATATTACATTTTAAAACTAAGTCAATATGTAGCCAGAAAAATATCCAAGGCTTTAAACTTTAAGACACATAGTGGTTAAATTTAACAATTTAATTCAGCAACAATAAATTCTACAAGCAATAAGAACAAAGACCTTCAAATGCAAAGGAAAAGAAATTGAAATAACATAAGAATATTTTGCACCCACCAGACAACTCAAGAGACAATGGACTGAAGTGTTCTGAAGAGTAATGAAGCTCATGATGCAGCCAAGGGTCACCTACCTTGCAAATGTAAGCTTAACTATAAATGAAAAAAGATGACATTTAATAACAAAGAGGTATTTGAAACATTTTTAGAAACAAAAACAAACCTAAAGAAAGATAGGAAGCAAACTCTATAAGGCAATGGAAGAAACTACTTAGAGGGGTGAGGCCAGAGCAGATGCCTCAGAAGTTTTGATTCAATGAGAAAAGTAGAGAATAGAGAGAAGGTGATAGTTAAGTCTAGAGACCATGAACCACAGCAGATGACCTAGAGCCATCAGAAAGAGAGGGTGGATAATGGCAGGGGAAGGGGAGAAGGAAGGAGAAATCCTCGCTGGAAATTTTTTAAAAAACCTAATGAATAGATTTAGTTGAAAGGGAGTCAAGGAAGGTAGAATCTACTTGACTGAAAGGGGGAAAAAAAAAGACAGAAAGAATTAAGTAACTAGATAAAAGCAGAAAAAAAAAAAAAGAAATAGTAAACACAGCCCCAAAGGGAAAGATATAAAAATGGGAGGGCAGATCAAAAGTGAGAGGAAGAGAACCAGCAGGAATAGAGCCACCTTAAAAAAAGATTAGGTAAGGTAATTGAAGATATATAGTACTTTGTTTATAAAGGAAGAGTACAAAAAAAAATTATAACAAAAAAACCCCAACATTAGAGACAAATGGAGAAAAACATAAACCTAACTGATAACTTTAAATGTGAATGGATTAAAAAATCCAATAAAATTTAGAAAGTGATAGATTAGATAAGAAAATAAAACTCCATAATCTATTATTTATAAGAAACACATTTAAACATCAAAGACAAACTCAAAGTAAACCTGAAGTGATGGGGCAAAAACTATTATTCATCAAGTAAATCCAAAAAAGCAGGACTTGCAATCATGCTGTATGACAAAGCAAAAACAAACATTCAAAAAATGAAAATAATTAAACAAAAAAAAAACTACATTATGCTGAAAGGAACCATAGACAACAAATAACAATAAACATATGCTCTAAATACCATAGGACTGAAATTTATAAAGGAAATATTAACTAAGCTACAAGAACATGTAGGCAGTAACACAATAGTGACATGAAACTTCAATATCTTTCTTTCAGTTTTGGATAAGTTTAATAGAAAGATAAACAAAAGAGAAAATATGGAACTGAACAAATTGCTAGAGAAACTTGAGCTAAAAGAATTATGGCATCTTCTAAATAGAACTACAAAAGAATATGTGTATTTCTTAGCACCACATGGAACTTTTTTAAAAAATTGGCCATATGTTAGGGCACAGAGATATTTCCAAAAAAAAAAAATGTAAAAAGGTAGAAATAGTAAATACATACTTTATAGACCACAACACAACAAAAATATGCATTGGTTCAGGTGCCACAAACTAAAGACACAGACTGAAATTGAGATTTATGAAATCCTAAATAACAAATGGGTCAAAGAACAAATAATAGAAACAGCCGATAATTATGTGAAAGAAAATTATAATGATGAAACAACATACCAAAATTTCTGTGATGCCGCTAAAGCTATCCTCAGTGGTAAAATCATATCCCTAAAAACATACAATGACACAATTGAAAAATATAAGAGGATTAATTAGCTGAATACACATTTTTTTGAGATTAGAAAGTCAACAAATAAACCTAAAATAATCACAAAAGATGAAGTATTAAAAATTAGAGGAGAAATAGATATATTGGAAACAAAAGCTCTAAAGAATATCTTGTTGGTGGAACCAAAATTGTCCCAGTTACCCAGGGTATGCAAAGCCCTTTACAAATAGGCCATCTGAGCCTCACAACCACCTTACAACCTTTGAATCTTCTCTCTTCCTTCACATTTAATCTATTTTAAAGCCCTATTACAGCATCTACCTCCAAAATCTCTTTCACACTGGTCCCTTCTTCTCATTTCCATTGCCACCACCCTAGTGTAGGCCCTCATTTTTTCTCCTTGTATGATAATAATAACCTCCTAAATGATATCTCTGTCTCTGGTCTCTGGAATCTGCAATTCATCCTTTGTACCATTGCTAAAATAATTTTCCTAATGTTTAATAACCATATCACCTCCTAATGACCAGAATGACCTAATGACTATATCACCTCCCTACTTAAAAATGTTCAGTGTTCTCTCATTGCCTACCAGGCAAAACACAAGCTAATCAGCCTGACACTCAGTACATTTATAATCTGGCTCCAAACTACTTTTCCAGCTTCATTTTTGGTATTACTTGTGCATGGTTATAACTTCCTCCAAAAAGAACCGCTTGATGTTTCATGAGCTTATCCTGACCTTTCTTGCCTCTGTGTATTCATACATATACTTCTTCCCTGATCCCTGTTGCCCTCTGTTTCTATCTATTGACATATTTCTCCTTGAAGGTCTAGCTGAAATATCCCCTTCCTCTGTTATGGATCCCCTAATCCGCTGTGCTGGAAGTGATTTCCTGCCAACTTGCTCCTCCCTTGTGCAAATCACTTCCCCTTTCTAGGTCTCAGTCTATTTCCTCATCTAGAAAATGAGGAAGTTGGAGGAAGGGAAAAGGGGAAGAGAACCAGCATTTATTAAGTGCCTACTACATGCCAGGCACTGTGCTATTCACTTTACAGATATTTCCTTTGATTCTTCACAACAGCACTGTAAAGTAGGTACAATTATTATCCTAATTTTATAGTTGAGGAAATTGAGGAAGACTGAGGTTAAGTGACTTGTCCCGAGTCACACAGTTAATAAGTATCCAAGGCCATATTTGAACTCAGCTCATCCTGACTCCAGGCCCAGTATTCTATCCAGTATACCACCTAGCTTCCTCTGTACTTTACCCCTCCCCTAAAGATAAAATAGAATTGGGGAAAAAATAGTTAACAGGTTTTTCAAATATTAATATTTAGAGAATGACAATATCTATCCCTTTGTTTCTTACTTTAGTAAACAATTTACTTAAGATACCTCTAATTGGTGTGCCCCTGAAATTCCATCTTACTCCACAATTATTCAGGAGAGTTTTCAGTAGAGAAAGGTTAAGGGCAGGCCAGAGAACTGTCATTAGTCCTGCCAAAGTAGTCTGTGACTAGGAAGTGCACATACCACTACACTCTGGAGTGGGAAGGGGTGGCCTGAGAGGGCCTAACCATTCACTCAATCTTAGGGAATCACAGACACTCTGAGTTCAAAGTGACCTCAGAGGCTGACCTCTCTACCTGAAGAGAAATCTCCTCTAACAACATATCCAGTAAGTAAGTGGTCATCCAGACTTTGCTTGAAGACTTTTAAGGAAAGGGAACTCACTACTTCCTGAGGCAGCTCGTTTTACTTTTGAAACCTAGATGAGTTCAGCCAGTCAGTCAATAAACATTTATTAATCATCAACATCAGCTCACAAAGGAGAACAAGCTCTTACTATTGGGTTATTAGACTGGGTATTTCTTGAAGTCTGTTGTGGTTGAAGTCTGAATGTGGTTGTCTCGGCTGAAAAGAAAAAAGAGAAAAATAAGTTAAAATAGCTAAAAATACAAGGATAATCTGTGACTTTATCAAACAACATAGGAAATTCCTCTACCTACCCATCTATACTTAGAAGACAAATCTTAGGGAGCTACCTGAGGCACACAAAGGTTAAGTGATTTGTGTGGGGTGACTGTGTGAGTCAGAGATAGGACTTGAACGTAGGCCTTCCTAACTCCTGACTTCCTAATTCTTTAATGTTGGGCTGTCCTCATTTTGGAAAAGAAAGTGAGGCCTAAATAGGTAAAATGCCTTGATCAAGGTCATCTATAGTTAAGCAATATTCCTGAGATTTGAACTCAGAACCTCTGGTCTCAAAACCAAAATTCTTTTGACATGCTTCTTCTATTGTTGTTCAGTCATGTCCAACACTTTGTGAACCTGTAGATGATAGCATGCCAATACCGTCCATGTGATTTTCTTGCCAAAGATACTGGAGTGGTTTACCAGGTCCTTCTTCAGTGGATTAAAGCACACAAAGGTTAAATGACTTGCCCAGGGTCACACAGTTATTAAGTGTCAGAGGCCGGATTTGCACTCAGGGCTTCTTGACTCCAGGTCCACTCTATCCACTGAGTCACCCAGTACCCCATTCTTCAAAAGTATTTGCTTTTTTACCATAATGCATTTAGCATATGCAAAAAGAAGTTTCCCATCTGATGCCAATTACAGTATGACATGCCTTGGTCCCAATGTCCAATATGTTGCCAACCTTCTTCAATTTTATCTTTATACATCATTCAAATACACCCCCTTCTCTGCTCTGACACTACCACCACTCTGGTGCAGGCCCTCATCACCTCATGCCTGGATTGTTGTGCAGCTGCTGGTGGGTCTGCTGCCTCATCGCTCCCTACTCCAATCCGTCCTCCACTCAGCTGCCAGAGATCTTCCTAAAGTGTAGGTCTGTCGTTGCCCTACTCCTATCAATTAACATTTACTAAGTGCCTACTATGTGTCAGGTGCTGTGCTAAGCACAGGGGATAGAAAGAAAAGGCAAAAGAAAGTCCCTGCCCTCAAATAGCTTACAACCTACTTGGGAAGTCAACATGCAAATAAATGAATACAAAGTAAGCAATATGCAGGATAAATAGCTAATAATTAATGGAGAAAAAGCACAAAAACTAAGAGGGTTGGGGAAGGTTTCCCATAGAAGGTGGGATTTTATTTGGGACCCCAAAAACCCCAGTGGTTCCCTTTCACCTCCAGGATCAAATATAAAATCCTCAGTTTGGTATTCAGAGCCCTTCACATCCTGCTCCCCATCCCTCCAACCTCCCCTCCCACTCTACCTTTCCAATTTTCTTATATCTCACACCCACAATGAACTCTTGGATCCAGGGACACTGGCCTTTCTGGTGTTCCTCAGACACAACACTCCATTTCTCTTGAGTGCCAGCATTTTCACTGGCTGTCTGTCATGGAAAGTTCCCCTTCCTCATTTCCACCTCCTGGTTTCCCTGAATTCCTTCAAGTCCCAGCTAAAATTCTACATTCTATAGAAAGCCTTTTCTCACCCTCTTTAATTCTATTGCCTTACCGCTGAAATTTTGTGCAATTTATTCTGTTATTACATAATCTCCCCATTTGATTGTAAGCTCCTCAAGAGCAGGGACTGCCTTTTGCCTTTCTTTGTATTCGGAGTGCTTAGCCCACAGTTCCTGGTATGCAGTAGGTGCTTAATAAATGTTTATTGATTGACTGACATGAACTAATAAAATTAAGCCAGGCAAACAGGAACATTCTACTCAATCTTGTCTATTAAGCTTGACCTCCCGAAGGCAAATGCAGTTTGTTTCATCCTTACAAATTTAACCTTTAGGTGACCACTGTTTTTCACCTGAAACAAAATCTGCCCCATAGTCTGTAAGAAATGCAGACATTTTCTCAGGGTGCATGGCAAATATGGGCAGCTAGGTGGCACATTCACTCTGAGGGAGTTGCCCTGTATTCAATGTTTTCAGTCATTTCAGTTGTGTCTGACTCGTCGTGACCCTATTTGGGGCTTTTTGACAAAGATAATGGAGTGGTTTCCCATTTCCTCCTCCAGCTCATTTTACAGATGAGGAGACTGAGGCAAACAGGATTAGCACTAAATTGATAGCACTATAAATAAATAGCCCTAAAGTACTGACTTGCCCAGGGTTGCACATCTAGTGTCAGAGGCCAGATTTGAACTCAGGAAGATGAGACTTCCTGACTCCAGGCCCAGCACTCTATCCACTGCACCAACTAGCTGACTCTGGTCATCTGTTTCCTAATAGCCATTCATGTCAGACCTATCCTCCCTATATCCCTATCATTCTTTCTTACCCTTTCATTATACCTTCTGGAACCTCTGTTTTAGTGTTAATTTCACATTAGACTTGTGTCCTCATTCAAAATCACTCTATATATTTGGTATTTAGCTGTATACACATCCCTTCCTTCCCTCACCCCCAATAGAATGTAGGCTCCTTGAGGAAGGAGCTGGTTAATATCTTCTTTGTATTACCAGCACCTACCACAGTACTTGGTATATAATTGGCATTTGACAAATGCTTGTTCAATTTAATTGATGTGGTTTATCTGCCAACTAAATGTTACTTCATTCAAAAACTGAATTCAAAACCCAGTTCTTCAGGAAATCTCTCTTCATGCATTACTAGATCCTCAAGACAACAAAACAAACCATGTGAAAGTTAAGAAATAAGCAATCAACAGTGAGAAAATGAAGGCTTGTTCCAATTTTTCTAGCCTACAATCCTAGGCTCAGACACTCCTTAGGTCTCCTCCTGCAAAGTTCAAAGGTCTCCCATGTTTATAAAGTTTTTGAGTTCCCCCTTTAAATGCAGATTTAGCAAACTATGCCTTTAATCCTACCTGGGCCTAAACTTCTCCACAGAATGGGACAGTATTTCTCCAACAGCCAGAAGGGCTTATCTTAGGCTTATCTCAAATCTAAACAAACTTTAGTTATCTTGTTATTGTAAAAGGAATTTCAAGTAAGAAAAACACATGATAGTATTGTTAAATCAAAAGGAATCTTAAACAGAGAATTTTTCACTCTGGAGGGAAGAAGCCAATACTAAAATTAACATCTCTTTTATAACTAATTTTTACTGTTCCGTGATTGCTTATTTTTCTTGCACCAAATCGTTTTGTCATGAAAGGGAATAGTATAACATAATTCGGTCTGAATTCGCCTGCTATTACATAAAGTCTCACAAGCCATTGATCCCCTAGTAGGTTCATTAACTTTGAGTTGAAAGGGACCTTAGGGATCATCCTGTCTAAACCCTTCATTTTATGGTTGAGGAAACTGAGGCCTGAGTGTTCTATGGCTTTCCCACCATTATTCAGATCATAAACGGAAGATCCAAGATTCAAGCTGAGGCTCTCTTACTCCCTCATCATACCATGATGCATAAAATAATTATGCATAGTAGAGACCAGAAATGACACGAATGATTCAAACAGGATCATAGGAAAATAGAAGTTAGAGCTCAAAGTAACATTTTCTGCTGTTCAATCATATCTGACTCTTCATGACCCCATTTGGGGTTTTCTTGGCAGAGACACTGGAGTGGTTTGCCATTTCTTTCTCCAGTTCTTTTTACAGATGAGGAAACTGAGGCAAACAGGGGTAAGTGACCTGTCTAGCATCATACAGCTAGTAAGTGTCTGAGGCTACCTTTGAACTCAGGAAAATGATTTCTCCTGATTTCAAGAGGGGTACTCTATCCACTTGTGCCACCTAGCTGACCCAAGGAACATTAGAGTTCACCTAATATTATGTGATGTTCAATTATGCCTTCCACATCTTGACTTTCCCCACCGTGGTTTTGATATATTTCGGGTTGGCATGATATGAGAAGGCCAGCAGATGACACAAAAAAAGTTTAGAAACTTAGAAATGCATAAAATATATGTATGGCATTTACATAATATCAACCTAAATTTTATAATAAGGTATTGTAAACACCCCATCAGAGAAAAAGAAAAAATTCAGACTTCTTTGGTATGAAGGGAGGGCCAAAAAATTTTATGCAGATTTTCCAGATCACTTGGGTGGTGCTCCCACCTGGCGCTCTTGGTGTGGAAAGGATAACTGTAAATAGTTCTCTTCCTATACCTTCAGAGTACTTTGCAACTCAAGAGCTACATGAAACTCAGTATGATATAATGAAAAGAACAACTGTCTGTGTGACTTGAGACAAATGGCTTAACTTCCCTGGGGCTGAACTTACTTTCCCCAACTATAAATTAGTGGATTAAGCTAAATGGCCTCGAAGGTGCCTTCCAACTCTAAAGTCCTGCAATCCTGAAATCTTAGTCCTAACTCAGCCATTAACTAGAACAAGTCACATAAACAGTCCCTGAGCTTTAAGTTTCTTCATCTGTAAAAAGAAGTGGGTAGATTAAATGGAAGGTCTCCTCTACCTCTGACATTCTCTGAAGAGGAAAACAAGGGAAAGGTGTGTACCAGATGCCAGATGTGACTGATGAACAATACTGCATAAATGTCAAGCATCCTGTATGCATAACCCAGTGTGTTTGCTCTCTAGGCCTCAGTTTTCTCATCTATAGAATGAGGTTCCACTGGAGGTAATATGGTGTAGTAGGGTATAGGATCTGAAATTAAATGGGTTCAAATCCATGAGTTCAAGTACTAGCCCTGCCACTCACTTTTATTGTTATTCGGTCGTGTCAGATTCTTCATGCCCCCGTGGATCATAGTACACCAACACTGTCCTTGGGGTTTACTTGGCAAAGATACTGGATTGGTTTGACATTTCCTTCTCTGGCTCATTTTCCAGATAAGGAAACTGAGGCAAACAGGGTTAAAGTGACTTGCCCAGGGTCACAAAGCTAGTAAGTGTCTGAGGCCAGATTTGAACTCAGTTCTTCCTGACTCTGGCACTTTATACACTGCCACCTAGCTGCCCCTGATACTTACTATCAGTGTTATATGGGTAAATGTTTAACAATTGGCTCTCTGATTTAAAAAAAGTGTGTGCTTGACACATTTTAAAGTTTAATTTCCATTATCAACATTTTCTCCATCTCTTTCTTAAGCCTAGACAATCAACAAAGCAATAAATCATTCGTTGATTTGTAATCTTTGCCAATTTCTGAGATATAAATGCTCACACTTGATCATTTAACAATTGGTTCTAGCTCAAGCTAGCTTCAGCACACCCATGATCACTACCTATGTGACTATGGACAAGTTACTTAACCTCTCTTGGCCCCATTTTCCTCAACAATGAAATAAGGGGCTTGGACTAGATGCTGCTAAAGATGTCCTATCTCAAAATTTCCCAAGTCCTAGATCATTTCTAACATTCCATGATTCCAGGTTTCTTTGCCACTTATTAGCCAGGTGACTTTAAATAAGTTAGATGTTTTCAGCTACAGTTTTCTTTGTTTATGCATAAAACTAAAAAAAAAAAAAAAGAATATCATCTCTGTCTACTTCACAGGTTTGCAGAGAGGATCACATGATACAATAGCTATGAAAGCATTTTGTAAACTCTAAAGTGGCAAATATACATACACATACACACACATATATAGGGAATAGTGGGAACCAACCATAGCAAAAATTAATTAATAAATTAATTAATAAAAAATAAAGATCCAGTCCCCAGAAAGGGAAATAAAGTTATCCTCTGCTACTTTTTGTTGTTGTTGAGTCATTTCAGTCGTGTCTGACTCTTCCTGACCCCATTTGGGGTTTTCTTGGCAAAGATACTAGAGTGGTTTGTCATTTCCTTCTCCAGCTCATTTTACAGATGAGGAACTGAAGCTAACAGGATCACACAGCTAGTTAAGTGTCTGAGGCTAGATTTGAACTCAGGTCTTCCTAATTCCAGAGTCAGCAGTGTTCTATCCACTGGACCACCTAGCTGCCCCCTTTGCTATTTAATGTCTCCGTAAGACACAGCTTGGTATAATGGTTAGGGCACTGAACTTGGAATCAGGAAGACCTGAATTAAAATTCTGCTTCAGACATTTACTAGGTATGTGATCCTGGGCAAATCACTTAACCTCTATGGGCCTCAGTTTCTTCATCTGAAAAATGAAAGTGTTAGGCTCAGCCTCTAAGGTTCCTTCCAGTTCTAAATCTTTGATTCTATGACCTCAGACAAGTAATTTAACCTCTCTGAATCTCTGATTTCTCTTATGTAAAAGGAAAGATTAGATTAGTTGATCTCTAGGATCCTCTCTTACTTTAAATCCCAAGATCCTGAGTGCTCAGGATATTGCAGATTCTACTGAAAATTCCTTCTAGCCCTTAAATCCTCCCTCATTCTTCCCCACTCCCCACCACCTCATTCCACCACCACTTCAAAACAGAATGGAAAATTTCTTGCTTCATTAATAAGGAACTGTTGTCAACTGAAGTATTACCAAAAGTATTCCTCCTATAATTGGGAATGTGAGGAAACTGTTTTGGATTCATTCTTGTTACTAGGCCAATCCCTTCTCCCATCAAATACTGCCTTATTTCACATCTCACATTCAACAGGAAGATACATTACCTCTGTTCTCTCCACCATCCTCTCTCTTTCCCATCAGAGACACTCTGAGCTCAGATACCAGCCAAAATTTTTCTTCCAAATCCTGTACTTTCCCTAAACTGTGTACCTCATTTCCAAGATAGTAAGGAACTGATTCCAATTAATAAAAATAAGAGCTACCGCCAAATTGGTAAAAATAATCAAAGGATATGAACAGGAAATTTTACAATGAGGCAGTTGAAGTTATCAATAGTCATAGATGAAATACTGCTCCAAATCCTGAATAAATAGGGAAATAAAGATTAAAGCAACCCTGAGGTCTAAACTCTTACCCCTCAGATTGATGAAGGTGACAAAAAAAAAGGGAAATGACAAAAATTGGAAGGGTTAAAGGAAATTAGGCATATTAATGCACTGTTGATGGAGCTGTGAATTGCTACAGTCATTCTGGAAAGCAATTTAGAAACACCTCTCCAAAGTTACTAGATTATTAGATCCAGAGATACCAGTATTAGAAACCTATACCAAAAGACAACAAAGAAGGAAGAAAGGAACCCACATGTAAAAATATTTATAGCAGCTCTTTTCGTTGAAGCAAAGAATTAGGAGTTAGATTTTAAAATCATCAGTATAGAGGTGATCATTGACTCCATGAAAGCTGATGAGAACACCAAACAAAATGGTGTAAAAGACAGAACTTTGGGGAATCCCTGTGATTCTCAGGTGTGACCTGAATGAAGATGGAGCAAAGGAGACAGAGAAAGAGCAGTCAGACAAATAGGAGGAGAGCTAGGAGAGAGCAATGTCAGGAAAACCTAGAGAGAGGAGAGCATCAAGGAGAAGAGCATCTAAGGATATAGAGATGTAGGTGTAGGAAATGAGGGCAAGGGTCATAGTTGGAGAGGATTAGGTAAAAAGAGGTGCTTCTAATTCTATCAAAAATTTTCTGGAATCTTACTTGTGGGATAAACTCCACAATTAACCCAGTTAGAGCTTTCAGTTAATGAATTTAGTTGCTAGCCCTCATCATTGACCATTTACTGGTTGGTTCCTTTATTATCCCACTGCTTCTTTTTTTTATTTTTAATTTATGGAATAAAACAAGTATTTCCATAACTCAGTATAATAAAAAAGTGATTGCACACAAAACTGCAATATACTACGTACAACTTGCTATTCCTTTTAAGTATACAATAAAGTTATGGTGCAAATTTCTTTTTTTTTTCCTTTTTTTCTCCCATCCCCACCTCCACCGTAGAGATGGCTACCATTAGACACAAAGAGGTGTGTGTGTGTGTGTGTGTGTGTGTGTGTGTGTGTGTGTGTGTGTAAAATTATTCTATTCATACTTCTATTTATCAGTTCTTTCTCTGGATGCAGATAGTGTCTTTCTTCATATATCCTTTATAGTTAATTTGGATATTTATAAAAGCCAAAATGACTTTTTTGCTCAAAGTTATTCTTAAAACAATATTATTAGTACTGTATACAGTGTTCTCTTGGTTCTGCTTATTTCACTCTTCATTATTTCATGCAAGTCTTTCCATATTTTTCTAAGATCAATGAGTTCCTCATTTCTTATAACACAGTAGAATTTCATCACAATCATATGTCACAACTTGTTCAGTCTACTGCTTTTTAATGTAACTGAAACATGACCTTTTCTCATGGGGGTAATTCTCATGCTCATCTTTGTCTCTTTGCCAGGGTCTAACCTGCTCTAATACCAACCAAGAACATTCTACTGTAGCTCCTTCATGGTTGGTGACTATGAAGCTCACGGTTCAGGGAAAGTACAGAGTTTGGAGAGAAGTTTTTGGCTGGTGTCTCAGCACAAATACCACCTTCTGCCTGCCAGAGGGCTTCCTATAGGGTTGTGCTGGAAAATGTCTAAAAATGACCTCAGCAGTTGGGGGAAAATGTGTGACCAACACACTTTTAAATTTAATCTGCATTATTAGCATTTTCTATATTACACAAGTTTAAACAACCAACAAAACAATAAATCAATCCCTGATTTGTAAGGCTTACTGATTTCTGAGGTATAAATGCTCACACTGAAAATTTAACAATTAGCTCTCCTGGACACATTCAAGCTGGCACATCCTTGTCTTTCCTGGTCCCCTTCCCATCCCTCCTTACCTCTTCACTCCATACATACACTGCTACATACACACACTGCTAATGCCATTTCTCCCATTTATAATGTATATATCTTATATGTACATGGTTGTTTGCATGCTATCTCCTCCCATTAAATGTAAGCTCCTTGAGGTCAAGGACAATGTTTTTGCCTTTCTTTGTACCCCTAGTACTTAGCACAATGCCAGTTGTACAAGCTTAATAAATGCTTGTTGATAATGACAATGATGTTTAGTTGCAAAAAAAAAAAAGTAAATTTAAGGTCAATAAAAGGGGGAAAAAAACTTTCTTAACTATTAAAGAGCTATTGGTGAGTGGAATGAGCTGCTTCAGGAGGTGGTTCCCCACCACCATCATCACCAGCACTGGAAGACTTCAAGGAACCTCTGGGTGACTAATCGTCAGATGTTATTTTCATGGGCTCTTGTATAGATATTAATTGGATTAGATGTACTCTAAGATTCCTTCCATCTTTGATGCTTCATGAGGCTGTGAATTTTTGAAAGTCTCTTCTTATATACCCTTTGATTTTCCCATAAGAATTTCATAAAGGAGAAAAAACAAAAAGACACTTACCTGGTTTGACCACTAACTTCAGGGATGTTTTTTGGTCATTAAGTAGACCTTTAAATTCTATCCTGCAGCAATAAATTCCACTGTCTGCTTCTCCCACATTCTCAATTGTTAAGGACACATTCCCTCGGAAAAGATCTCCCTTTAACTTGTATCTCTTTATCTTCTGATGTGTCACTTTCCATCCATCAGTGGTGAGAAATTCTTCAGTACATCGACTTAAAGGGCAGGCCCCTTTACCCCAGCATATAGGCACAGTTTTGTTTCTTGGATTAACCACATAGGAACATGGTAAAAGGACAGTTTGACCCACCACTCCTGTGTAGGTACCTACGGAGGGCTCTGCAGGTAGAGATCAAAAAAGAAAAAAAAAAGAATCTAAGGCAAAGAATGGAGCAAGGGTAGGCAAGTTTTATTAAAGCAAAGAAAAATAATTCTTCAAGTGCTTCACTGAAATGATTATATCACTTATCCAGTTTTGAGGTTGGCTATCTGCCATGGTATGAGCAACTAGGTGATTCAGTGGATAGAGCACCAGGTCTAGAGTCAGGAAGATCTGAATTCAAATCCAGCCTCAGATACTTACTAGCTGTGTGACTCTGGGCAAGTCACTTAACCCCTATTTGCCTCAGTTAGTCATCTGAAAAAAGAGGACACCTTGGAAAATGAAATGGCAAATCACTCCAGTATCTTTGCCAAGAAAACCCCATGGACATAGGGACATCAAGTCAGACACCACTAAACCACTGAACAACAACAATCTGCCATAAAAAAAAAAAAAAACAGCTGTGTAATATCTCCAAAGGAAAGGGGCTATGAAAATGAAAACTAGAAAAGAAAAAAAAAATCAACACCTAGGAAAATGGCTAAGCTATCTCTCTTAAGGTGTCCCATGTTTATAGCTAAACTACTAAATGTCTACACACAGGTCACAAAGAGAGTAGGTAGAACAAAGCCTCCTTCTGCAAACTAACTTAAAATGCTTTTTAAAATAGCATTCACATCTACTGAACATCCCATCTGCCTCTGCCACACCCTTAGCCACAGTGCCCTTCTCATGGAGAACATTTAAATCATCTGCTTACCAGTTGGCCGCAACAGAAGGACAAAAATGAAGAGATGGAGCAACATGGCACCAGCTGAAATCTCATGGAAAAAAACCAATGGGAAAAGTAGGCTTAGTGTAGCCATAGTTTAATTTCCTAGTTTCATTTCTACTTCCTTGTCTGCTGTCTTCTGTCTGCTCCCAGAGAACCATATGAGACACTTAGGATGCTCCTCATGGAAGCATCCTAGCTTAACACAGCATCACCTCAGAGCTGAAAGCCTGAAAGGAGAGCCCCTGATGAAGAGGAAACCTCAGAAACCACTCCTCATCTCGTGTCTCATGCTGCACACACCTACAAAGGCAACAGTTTCATACAACAACGGCAAAGAGAAAAAGGAACTTCTGACATTTGAAACCTTCGGTCATCATTTACTTCTCTTTTTTCTTAATTCTTGTCCATTTTTTACCCACCACTCCAAGACCTCATCAATTCCCTCAGTCCTGTTGATTCTGCTCTCTCTTTTCCATCCCCACTAATTCAGGTCTTCATTATCATTCACTTGCATTATTCCAGTAGTCAGCCTCCAGGTCTCCTTACCTCCATTTTCCTCTGATTCAGTCTTTCCTGAACATCATTAGTATGCCTAATGCATAGGTCTAATCATATAACTCCATAGGCTTTAAAAAAGAAAAGAGGGAGGGAAGAAAGGAAAGAAAGGAAAGGAAAGGAAAGGAAAGGAAAGGAAAGGAAAGGAAAGGA